TGGCAGGGGAGGCTGGGGCCAGCCAGTTGCTGGCCTTCCTGTGGGTGTTTAAGAAGCAGAGAATCATCCAGCCCTGGGCATCAGTGTATTCCATGGAGTGGAAGCCAAGGGTCATGCCCGGCCATCCAGCCTTGGGCAAGATGGCAGAGGGAGCTGCTGCTAGTGTCTTATGGGGCAGGGGACAAGCAAAGAAGATCTGGTGTCCAGTGGCTGTGTTTGAGTAGCCAGGGACAGGGTCAGCTGGGGGCAGTGCTGCTGGTGACTCCCTCCCCTCCCCTCCCGCAGAAGATGCCAGGGGTGCTCAGTAGCCTCAGCAAGTGCTAGGGCTGAAGGGAGTGCAGGCAGCTGGGACCATGGGCAGAAGTCCTGGACTCAACTCTAACAGCCCTGTGCTGCCTCCCTCTGTTACCTGCAGGGCATGGGCTGCAAGGACCAGAACACCACCCGGTGGCAGGAGGGGGTTCTGCACCCTGCAGCCCCTTCTGGGTTCCCCTCAGCAGCCCCAGGGCTATTGCACCCTGCAGAAACTCCACAAGTCCCCCTGGTAGCAGTGGGCAGCATTGCACCCAGAAGCAGCTCAGAGCCCTCTAGGTGGCAGTTGTTCCATGAGGCCTCCAGGTGGCAGCTGTTCTGTGAGCCCCCCTGGTGGCAGCAGACAGCATTACGCCCAGTTCCATAAGTGACCCCCCCACCAGAGCAGCTGCATGCCTGACTCCCCCCAGAACCCATGTGAGAACTGGTTTCTCCCAAGCAAGCTCTTGAAGGTCTGGATCAGAACCAGCACCAGAGAGCCCCTCTTCCCACAGCCAAGCTCAACTGGAACCAGTGCCCAAGAGGCCGGGAGTCCCCCTGTATCCGGGCTGAATCAGAACAGCACATAAATGCCCCCCACCAGAGCAGCTGCATGCCTGACTCCCCCCAGAACCCATGTGAGAACTGGTTTCTCCCAAGCAAGCTCTTGAAGGTCTGGATCAGAACCAGCACCAGAGAGCCCCTCTTCCCACAGCCAAGCTCAACTGGAACCAGTGCCCAAGAGGCCGGGAGTCCCCCTGTATCCGGGCTGAATCAGAACAGCACATAAATGCTGTGAAGCAGCAGTGCCCTGATCTCTGAGCCGTGAGGGCAGGGCCCTGAAGCTGTGCTGGGAAATCACGGGATCAGCAGTTCCACCATGCTCAGGGCCATGAGAATGAAGCCTGAGTCAGTGCAGTGAGTGGGGGTGGGGCAGCGGATGTCAGCTAGATTGACTTGACCTTTCTCTTTGTTGCCTTTCCAGGAGATTCCCACAATCCTTTGCAGCTGTCAGGCCCCGAAGAGCTGGATGAAGATGTGCAGATGCCTGCAGAGGGGGAGGAGGAAGAGGAGGATGAGAGTGTGTTAGTGGTGGGGACGCCTCCACCTACCCCACAAAGCCCCCCAGATGCCACAGCTGGTCCCCAGCCAGGCCCAGCGCCTCCTGTACCGCGGCGGGAGCAGCGGCGGAACTACCAGCTGCACTGGCGGGTAGAGTATCTGATGGACTATGATGGCAGACGGCATGGGCTGGTGTGCATGGAGTGGGGGGGGGCGCTTGCCACCCTCAAGGTGAGCACCATCAAGCGCCACATCCTGCAGGTGCACCCCTTCTCCTTGGACTTCACCCCAGAGGAGCGGCAGACCATCCTGGAGGCCTACAATGAGACAGCCCTGCGCTATGAGCCTGCCCAGGAGGAGGAATCGGCTATGATGGCAGACGGCATGGGCTGGTGTGCATGGAGTGGGGGGGGGCGCTTGCCACCCTCAAGGTGAGCACCATCAAGCGCCACATCCTGCAGGTGCACCCCTTCTCCTTGGACTTCACCCCAGAGGAGCGGCAGACCATCCTGGAGGCCTACAATGAGACAGCCCTGCGCTATGAGCCTGCCCAGGAGGAGGAATCGGAAGTTAAGTCCTGCCCCTTCTTCCAGGTGCTTCCTCCTTAAGTGGAAGGGG